GCGCTAGTACTGATCAGCGTCAAGGACCGCCAGGAGCCCAGTCAGAGAGCGGTGGAGCTCCCGCACCGCCGCCGTGCTTGCGCCGATCACATCGGCTCCTGAACCTCCGCGCAAAATCCGCCGCAGCCCACGGACAGCAGTACCGAGCTGCCCAACCCCCGCAACTACGCCCATCACGGGCTCAGCCAACACGGGCGCCAGCAGCTTCCCAAGGCGATCAGCAGCATCAAGCAATTCGTCCCTCTGGCGGCTGTCCAGAGAGCCGCCACGAGAGAGAGCGGCATGACCATGTGCCTGGATCAGGTGCACGGCCCGCAAGCCCTCCGCGAGGCGCCACAGCTGGCCAAGTGACGCCTCGGGGACCTCAGCCACGCGAGGAGGTCCCCCCAACGCCAGGAACGCCAGCATGTCACCGGCTGCAGAATGGGGAGGTGGGTCGGCAGGAGGAACCCCTGGCAGAAACACGTGATGCCCAGGAAGCGCAGCAGGGGCATGGGGGGCGAGAGGTGGAGGAGCAACAGCTACAGGAGGAGAAGACGATGCCACAGGAACAGAGACGGGAGAGGGAGCTGGAGGAGCCGTTGCAAGGCGCTGCGCGGCCCTCTCCTCGCGAATCGCCGCTGAGACGACGCGCTGAACGTCCGCAAGGGACACGGGAGGAACATACGCCGGGCCACCGCCATAACCGCGACCCCCCCCCCCCAACCGCCTCGACCGCCGCGCTGCCGGTTTGACTGTGGGCGGCTACGACGGGGAGAGTCGCGGCGCCGGCGCGACGATTCCCGCTCATCACGAGAGTGGAGCAGGAGAGTGGGGACGCGAGGAGCAACGGCCAGGTGACGGCTGGCCCCGCGGCTGCCCCACAGGCGCAACGAGATGTGCCGCTGGAGCCGGCACCACCTGCGCCACAACCGGGGCCGGGCCGCCAGTGGTGGCGGACACCGCCATCGGCGACGAAGCAACGGCCGCAGCAGACACAACAGGGTCAACAACGGCGGGCGCCGCTACAGGGACACCAGGAACGGGCGGGGCAACAGCAGGGGCAGCCACAGCAGGCGGTGCCACAACGCTCGCGGGGACGGCGGACGGAACAGCAGGAGCAGCAGGTACAGCCGCCCCGACGGGAGGCGGAGGGTCCGATCCGGCAACAGGGGGCGACGGAACAGGCAGTGGCGACGGGAGAGCCGCGTTCGCCACGGGGAGCGGGTCCACAGGCAGAGAGACCACAGCGGCAGAGGGCGCCGGCTTCGAGGCAGGCGGGACTGGCGGCTTCATTGCAACAGTCCCCGAGGCAGACACAGGCGGGGATTTTCCGCTCACCGCTGACACAGTGGCAGCGGGCGTTGGCGACGGCCACTGTTCGTTAGCAATCACCATCGCGAGGCAGAAGAACACAAAGGGCGGGACGCCGTGAAGGACGGGGAATTGAGGGCGGACCGGAGAACGCGTTCCAAGCAGCTGGGCGACGGGCTTTAACCAGACTTAATGAAAATGACGAGCGTGACGCACAGGCATCGAGCAGTAGTAGCGAAGGAGAAGAGGAAGATGGGAGGAGCGAGCAGATGGGGAGACGGGCTGGAGTGGCGCAAAGAGGAGCGGACGCGAATTCGGGAAGCAGAGAGCCACAGGATGGGGATCGGACGGCCACCATCCCAACTCTGACGACCACCCACATCCCGAACCGCGCGCGAGGAAATCGAACCGCACGGAGTCAAGCAAATGCGGCCCGACAGACCAAAATCCCGCGCTATTACTCGCCAGAAGAGCTGGCCAGGAAGGCAGAATTATTCGCTCAGGTGGCGAGCTGGGACATCGCACCACTCTGCGACAGTCGCCAGCCGACATTGTTACGACGGCTACCGCCAAATCTGTGCGAGATTTTCTCGCTGGCAGTACAGACACCCCTCCTGCACCTCTCGCGAAGCCCGGATTCAGTCGCAGGTTGGCGGTTACTCCTCTTTCTGCCACGTCTGACGCTGAGACAAGGCTCGTCAAGGCGACCGGATTGGTCGAAAATCAAGGCTCGTATCCGCGCATTCCAGCGAGGCGAATGGCAGAACCTGTACCAGGAAGCGGTGGAAGCAGTACACACACCACCCCCGCCACGTCACCAACCTGACACCCTCGGCATCATCAGCAGAGCCTTCGCCGTGCCGTGTTGGCGCTCGAGTCAAACCAAGTCTGCACAGCGAGCCCAGGGATTCTGGAGGAACTTCGAACCAAACACCCGCCTGCCGGACCAGACCCGCTGACCTGGCCACAAATCGCCGAACATGCGTTTCTCGAAATTCCACACGCAGATTTTACGAAGCTGCTTAGCCGATGTGAGAACGGCGTGGGGGCCGGACCGAGCGGAATGGTGTTTGAACACCTTCGCGACGCAGCAGTGTCAAACGCATCCGTCACCACCCATCTGCACGCCTTAGCGAACACAATCTTACGGGGAAACCTGCCACCCCCCGTGGCACAACTGCTCACATCCTCGAGGCTGATTGCCCTAGCCAAGCCGGATGGGGGGGGCCGACCGATTGCGATTGGTGAATGTCTGATGCGGTTGGCAGCAAAGGCAGCCTTGTCAGCACTGGGTGAGGCAGCGCGTACATTTTTCCTACCGCTTCAGTTCGGGGTAGCCGTGCCAGGGGGGGCAGAAGCAATCATCCACAGCGCACGTGCATACACCGACGCACACCCCAACTGCCTAATCATGCAGACCGACATCTCCAATGCATTCAACTGCATAAGCCGACAAGCCATTATTTCGGCACTACAGTATCCGTCCCTCACCCCCCTACTCCCACTGGTCAAACTCACCTACGGCAATCCATCATCACTATTCTTGGATAACGGCTTTAACAGCCAGCCACTGAAAAGCCAACGTGGGGTGCGGCAAGGGGACCCCCTGGGCCCCCTGAAAGCGACAGCAGCAGCATACCCTGGCGTACTGTGCTTAGCGTACGCCGACGACGTGAGTTTTATGGGAGACCCGCACGAAGCTGTAGGAGCCTTTACCCACTTCACCGACCAACTGGAGGAAATAGGACTGCGCCACAATCCTGCCAAATGCGCCGCGTGGAGCAAGCAGCCGATAGAAACAGCAGTACAACTGCCACCCGGGGTACCGTTTAGTGAAGATGGCGTGAGACTCTTAGGCAGCTTCCTGGGAACATCATCCGCCGCCGCCGCCTTCCTCTCCGCGCAGCTAGAATCCATGGCCAAGCCGCTGCCATTACTCGAACGGATGGACCCACAGGTGACAGCCCTCCTCCTAACACGTTGCATTTCGCGCAGAGCAGCATATCTCACACGAACCACCCCACTGCACCTCCTAGATCAAGACACATGGTCACAATGGGGCCTGGACTTGCTGGTTACCCTTCTCACAGCATGCGGCATACGCCCGCCAACGGATAGCACTGAGCATAGCCGTGTCTGGGAGCAATCATCACTGCCACCGTCCCTGGGCGGCATTGGACTAGCAGACCCAACGGTAGAGGGCGCCTGCGGCTTCCTGGCCAGCTTTACGCAAGCCGCCCTCCTCCTGAGCCAACTGCCACTGGAGCCGGGTGGGGCCTTGAGAGCCACACGAGACCATATGCTACTGCCAGCAGATTCTAGCACGCCCCTACACCAGTGGCTGACTCTCTATGAAGCGGAGCTGCCGGAGGAAGCAAGGGAGATCCTAGACAAAGAAAGGCTGGAGCCGGCTGGTCTTAGGCTACAGCATGAGCTGGGGGTGAGGGTGCAGGGGAGAAGGTACGCCACACAAGTGCAAGCAACTAGACATATGGCCCTCACCCCCCTGTCAGGCCACACACAGCGATTCCTCTCGCTGACTGGCTACGGTACAGGGGACTGGTTGACAGCCATCCCAATAGACACTACCCGCCGTTTAGGACCAGAGCACTTCTCCAACGCCGTCCGCTTCAGGCTCGGCCTGCCCTTCTCCACACCCCGGAAGTGTGACTGCTCAAGACATGTCGAGATCAAGGACCCGCGGCTGCCAAGCCATCTCTTCCGCTGTGGCACCAGCAAGCACAGGACCAACACCCACAACGAGCTGCGGGACGCATGCATCAAGATGGCCGAGGATGCTGGTTTCATTGTCTACAGAGAGTCATCAGCTTATTGCCCCATAGAGGAGCAGACCGCGGATTTCACCATGCAGGACAGGAGTTCGGGAGCGGTCTATGTGTGCGATGTCACCATCACCGACCCCATTAGTACCAGGGATCCAAACGCTACCAAGGGGAGGGGATGGGTAGCAAGGGAGCAGGCCGACAAAAAGATTAGCCACTACGCCAGCCTACCTGACACGGTCGGTTTCTTCCCCCTGGCGGTCGAGACATATGGCTGCCCCTGTGCCGAAGTCCCCACGTTCCTAAAGTTACTGGCGGACACAGCTGCTAGGCGTCATTTCAACGCCTTACCTACCTCCTACCATGCAGCTCGGTTCCTCCACCTCTTCAGGCAGCGCTGGTCGGTGGCGTTGCAAAGGGCACAATCCATCGGATACATAATTAAGACCTGTCAGGCGGCCGTAGCAGAGAACCCCCCGGTGGGTGGGGTCCGGTCCGAGTTTCACCTTGGTGATAGTTGTGCGGTGATAGAACCTCTCATGGAGGTGTAGATGGGCATTGTGTATGTATCTAGGTAGTTGTATGTTCTATGTCCTAGCCTATACTTGCATGCGTGTACCACTTTGGAACATCAATGCACGGACCATTAGAGAGAGAGAGAGAGAGAGAGAGAGAGAGAGAGAGAGAGAAAAAAAATTAGTTCCTAGTGGTTCATCTCACCAACCCAGCGGCAGGTCTGCGGAGAGAGAGAGAGACCTGTAGCCCTAGTGAACCGCCTATAATGAGTACATCCTGCCTCTTGAACCAGTCTCTGCCTTCTTCATTTCATTAGTTCCTGGTGGTTCATCTCACCAACCCAGCTGAGGTTCCTGGTGGTGACCTGTAGAGAGAAAACTAGTTCCTGGTGGAGAGAGAGAGAGAAAACTAGTTGCAGTCTCTCTCTCTCTCTCTCTCTCTCTCTCTCTCTCTCTCTTTCTCTCTCTCTCTCTCTCTCTCTCTCTCTCTCTCTCTATCTCTCTCTCTCTCTCTCTCCGTAGACTACTGAACCCACTCAAACGGAGGGGATGGGCTGCTAGGGAGGCAGCTGACAAGAAAATCTCATTGTTTTCTGTGAAGTTCATTTTACTCTCAGAATTCAGCGGCTCGCGCCGGCCGCCGCGCGCGAGGGGTGGCAAGCAACAAAAAACACGATTCACTAGTAAGGCATACAACATGCAGCACTAGATCAGCCCAGACAACGCGGGCAAGGTAAGTAGGGAAGGGGAGATGGGTGGAAACAAGGCAACAACCAAAGCCCAGAGGGGGCAGAAGTCTACACGTGGTTCAGCACGTAAAACCGCCGGCGGATCCAGCTGAGCAAGGATGCGAGCGCAGGCACGAGCTGGAGGGGAGCCTCTTTGGCAGCCGTGGCGACACGGCGGAAGGCCCTCGCGCCCGGCCCATCATTGTCCGGGTGCTCGGACTCAAGAGGCAAGCGGAGGAGGCGCCAAAGACCTTGAGCTGCAGCATCACGAACAAGACCCTGCTGGCGCTCCGTCAGCTGGGGATCCCAAAGCACAAAATTACGCGCCTCCAAGCCAGCATGCACCTGCTCCAGAGCTGTCACCACATGGGAGAGACACTCGCCAACCCTGATCATGCGCCGCTCCCAACGAAGGACGTCAAGAAAGATGTCAGACAGGATGTCCCAGTCACGACCCCACGTTGTCCCGGGCTGAGGAGAAGGCTCCCATGTCTCACAGTTCTACCACTTCTCGTCATCCTCTGGATCAGGTGCATCAGGCGGAAGTTCGGGGGACCGGGCACGAGGAGGAGGGAAACGAGCGGCGGGAGTGGGGTCGGGAGGAAAAAGCGGATGTTGACGCTGAGGAAGCTCATGCGGCGGAATGGCAATGTCCAAAGAGCGGAACAGGAACGGGGGGCACGAGATGTGCCCCTGCAAATTCCACAGCAGCAGAGCCACAAGAGGCTGACGCTGATAGCGGCGCCGACGTCGGCAAGGGCTGGGACACCAGAGGGGACGACGCAGCAGAGACGCCAGAGGTGAGGGCGGCTGGAGATGCGGGCCGACAATCTGTCGCTAGAGAGCAGGTGAAGGGTGAGGCGGTCGACGACGACGAAAGGAACCTCCGCGGGCCCTCCGATGAGGGTCGGTATGCCCGCGAGGCGACCGATACACAGGCTCTCGGGGACGGGAGGGGGTCCCGGCCCCCTCGTGCTCATCCAGGGCAGCGGCGGCTCGGAGCAGGACTGGCGCCAGCCCGCCTGGGGCCTCTGGCAGGCTGGGAACAGCAGAATACCCCACCGCACGCTCCAACCGCGGCTGGGGACGACGTTTGCCCGTCATCAACACATCGCCGGGAGACACTGGAGGAGGCGGAGGGAGAGCGACGAGCGGAAGAGCTGGCGGAGGACGACGGCCACGAGGAGGAAGCGGTGTTGGCGGCTAGTGCCGCAGATCGATGGTGGAGGGCAGGGACAAGCCGGCACAGAGCGTTGCAGGAGAGAGCGGATAAACAAGCTGCGGGCCAACAGCCGCGAAACGCGGCGGCAAGAGCGGCCACCAGAGGCAGTGGGCGAGGCCGGGGAGGGGCGGGCGCACGGGTGAGCTGGTGAGAGCGGTAGCAAGGGAGAAGGCCAGATCTGGAAACTGGCGAGAAAGACACGGGAGGCCGGAGGAAAATGGGGAAGAACCAATGAATGAACCTGTAGGGGAGGAGGGGTCAGAATATATGGAGGAACAGCAGGCGGAGTGAGAGGACGTCTCAGTCGATGCAGAGGATGGGGTCCCCACAGATGAGGACAGGGGTCGGAGTCGTGGATGCAGACAAGGACGGGACGCTGGGGATGCAAACGCATAGGTGGGCGAATCAGAGGCCCAGGAGGCCAACGAGGCTGCCAGCAAGGAGCGGGTACCAATGAAACTCGCGGAGGATGAGGACGCGTGGCGAAGGGTGTTGGATTGGGATCTGGGACCACTCCGCGCTAGTGCCCAGCCATTCCTGGTGCGGAAGCTCACGCCAGAAATTCTGAAGGTGTTCAGCCACTGCACTACCGTACTACTTTTGCGACTTTCGAAGCATCCGGACTGCCTCGGTGCATGGCGAATTTTGCAATTTCTCCCCAGGCTTACACTGCAGGCGAGCATGGAGAAGCTCCGGGAAACAGATGGCAAGCAGTCGAGGGTTGGCTTCGACAACTCCGAGAGGAGGAATGGGACGCATTGTACACCCAGGCCAGCACCTTCCCCCCAAATTCCAAACCCGACAAGCAAGAACCTGACCCCGAAGGTATCTACGCCAGAGCAGAGGGGTTAGTACGGAAAGCTAACCTGGCGAAGGCAACAGCGGCGTTACACACTTCTCCATTGGCAGAGCTGTCGCAGACCACCCTAGAGGCACTACGCTCGAAACACCCAGGACCAGAGTTGGCGACACCGGAAGGCCTCACAGGTTACTCCTGCCCTCCAACTCTATTCCAACATGGATACTTCGTGGACGCAGAGATCGCAACAACAGAGAAACAGAAGCTGTTACAGTGGGAGAAGGACCTAGCTGTAAGAAAGGGATCAGGAAAGATTTCGGTACCGAACTATGGCCCGCTCCAACAAATCTTACTGGAGGAGTTCCACGATGTGGCATACGCGGGACATTTCGGGAGCAACAAGACGTTAGCAGGAATAGCGAAGTATTACTACTGGCCCCAGATAACAGCAGACGTGCAGCAGTTCGTCACCTCATGCGACACGTGCCAACGGATGAAGAGTAGCAAGCAGAAAAAAGCAGGGTTACTTCAGCCTCTACCCGTTCCGAAGCAACCATGGCAATTCGTCAGCCTAGACTTCATTACTGGGCTTCCTTCGACCTCACGAGGGCATGACGCTACTCATGGTGATCGACAAGTTCTCTAAGATGGGACATTTCATTTCGACCAACGCCGTGGCTACTGCTGAAGCAACTGCTCGCCTCTTCTTCGACCGCATCATCACCATCCACGGCATCCCCGCTATACTCATCTTAGGGATCGTTGGGGACAAAGCTTGCGATGTCTTCAGCGTACCACCCCCAGACTGAAAGACACACAGAGCGACTCAATCAGGTGGTTGAACAGCCACTGCTCACAGCTTGCAAAGATAATATTAGCCACTGGGACCTTCAGTTACCGACGCTTGAGTTCGCTTACAACAACGCGTCACATGCGGCCACAAGAAAATTCCCTTTCTTCCTGTGCTATGGACGAGAACCACTTACACCACAGCAGCCAACCACACTGGCACACGTCCAAGCCGCACATGACTTCGTCACCACCATGCAGCAGCTATGGGAGAAGACTCAGTGACGTCTCACCACGATGCAGAACTCCCAGAAGCAGTATGCCGATCGACAGCGACGAGAGTACTCAGTAGTAGTCGGAGATCAGGTGCTTCTCGACACACGCAACTTGGACTTATCTCACCTTCCGTCCAAGCTCCGGCCTCGCTTCTGTGGTCCCTTTCGCGTTGAGGCGATGGTGACACCAGTAACATTCCGCTTGCGCTTACCTTCTACGTGGAAGCTTCACAACGCTTTCCATGTTCAACTGCTGAAGCCCAACAAGGACCCCAACCAACAATTCACAGGACGACAGCTACCGCCACCACCACCTGTTCTCGTACAGGATGAACTAGAGTACGAGGTGGAACGAGTGCTTGCTCATCAACGTAGGTGCGGCAACACGCTCGAGTTCCTGATACGCTCGAAGGGATACGACACTTCGGAGGATAGTTGGGTTGCAGAAGCTGATATGGGCAACGCACGCCATGCTCTCAAGGATTATCTTGTCAAGCAGAGTGTATCTTACACCACCCAGCTTTGAGGGGGGGACGTGTGAGAGTACGACGGCTTTGCTAAGCTTTACTTGCTTGATTCTGCTTTATTATGCATTATCTAGCTTAGCATTATTTTGCTTTGCTTGCTTTTGCTAGATTTCCTAGGTTCGTTGCTTTTACTATATTTATTATAGTTATAGGCACCGAACTAGGTTGAGTGCACCGAATTCTAGGCTTTTCGGTTGCCACTGAATTGCCTTCTAACGAATTCGGGAAGGCCCCGTTCGGGACGCTTTGCGACCCATGGAACCTTCTAGTAACACCCGAGTTACTGCCTTTGTTTCAAGCGTATATATAGCCTCGTGTTGTACCCAGATGGATCATTCAATAGATTTCTCTTTCCTGAACCAGATCCTCACAATCCAAGCTCCTACTAGATAGCGGGTTCGAGATGCCTCATATTGACAGTGCGCGGGGAGTACGTCAGAGGGACCCGCTAGGACTGATGCTCTTCGCAGCGGCCATCCAACCGGCGCTCCTAGCGGTGGCAGATGCAGTTCCAACGGTGACCGTGATGGCGTACGTGGACAACATTATGATCGTGGGCGACCCAGCACAGGCAATAAGAGCACTAAACATGATACGAGACAAACTAGGCGGCTGCGGCCTATGGTGCAACCTAGCTAAATCGTCCACATGGAGCCCGTTAGGGAGCATGGGGCGACTACCGGACGGCCTAGCGACAGCGGTGGACGAAGTACGAGTTCTTGGGAGCCCAATTGGCACTACGGCATTCTGCCTGCGCACCATCAAGGGGACACTTGAGTCAACAGCAGCACTGTTGGGGCTCATCGGCAAACTCCACCCGCAACTCGCACTGCTACCCTCTTATGGTGCATCTCGCGCAGGATCTCTTACCTCCTGCGCACAACACCAGCGCACGTACTCCCCCGCTGGGAATGGAGGGAGTGGAGCGAGAGACTCCTGTGGACAACACTCAAGGCGGCCCACCTGCACACGCCGATCAAAGAACTGGAGCAGAGCCTGGTTTGGAGGCAGGCGACACTGCCAATTGCGCTAGGGGGTCTAGGTATCATAGACCCACTCTCAGAAGCACCAGCGGCATACCTAGCTTCTCTGAATGCGGCGCAGACTCTCCTGCAACATGTGTCAGCTACTTCCTGTCACCCATTTTAGCGTGTGGCGGCACTGGTGGCACCACAAGGGGACGGAGCCACGGTGGAAGGAAAAACAACAATCAGAGACCTGAGGAACAGACTTCCAGAAACGGCAAGAGAACGGCTGAGGGCAGCTGACCAGGATGGAGAGGTGAAGGGCCGCCTGTAGGAACAACTCTCAAGGCAGATCAACTTGGACTGGGCAGCTGAGCTGGTGGGCGACACGCGAATCGACAAGCCAGGGGAAGACAATGGTCACGTTGTCCGCCTGATCAGCCTGCAGGGGGTGGGAGCGGCGAACTGGCTCCATACCATCCCCACACGGGCAGATCTGACGTTCTTGCCGGGGCAGTTTGCGGTATCCTTCCCATGTGAAAGGGAAGGACAGGACAAACACACACAAGAGCCTGGTATACACTGCACTAGAGATGGCCAATGAAGCTGACTACATGACCATACATGAGACCACGGTCTTCTCGCAAATCGTAAACCCTAAGCGAGCAGACTTGGTCATCAAGGAGAAGGAGTCGGTTGAAACTGGGGTGACTGACGTCACAGTGACGGATCAAATGCTGCAGCGCTGAGACACAAGGGCGGTGAAGCAACCGGGCTGGGCGGCAGAGGACGCGGCAAGGGGGAATAGGGGGATGTATG